AAATGAGAGTTTACCTTTTTTAATGGAGTTAAAATACTGTAGCTCGCACCCAACGGCAATTTTTGTTAACCAGTAACAATAATGCAAATTATGGAAACTTCATAAACCACTCCTGAAAACAATTCAAGGGTATTCGGAAAATCTGTGTGGTCAGATGGTTAGCATATAAATAATCAGTACAGAATATTAAATGTGTGAGAATTTAACTAAGGGTATTTTACAATGTAAAAGCAAAGAGCTGAAAGGAATGTATAAATGTAACATTTTGCTCCAAACTCCTTGTGCAGTTCTCTTTACGATTATCAAAAAGAACGTATATAAAGCCCCTGCCCCTTTTCCCGCGGCTGTATATTTATACAAATCAGTGACAAATACTCCACTGCTCATTAATTTACAGTTGCATAGAAAGGGAAGAAGAAGAAAAAAACCAATACTATAAAAACAACATCCTGGTCTTTGGGTATTCAGTGTTTTACTATTTCAAGTAGAACATGCAGTCAGAGCAAACGGCATGTTCCAGGGTCCCATGCAGCCTTCCGATGAAGTGGAACTTGCGATCGGTGGTTTGCAGAAAAGGGCCGTACTGCACGTCAGGAAGCACTGGTCGACATCCAAATGAACACTTCACATTGCCTGTCATGATGAGAAATAACCACATCAGTACCACATTACCACGCACAGAAAGCTCTAAATATTCTGAGCTCAGTTCAGTTAAGGACTCTGATGTCATTTTACAAAAACTTTGTATTTTAAAAATTTAGATGTTTTGGCTCAAGACTCAGCAAATCACTGAGGCAAGTAGTCGAGAGAAACCTAATTTTACTATATGGCAGTGTTTAAAATTCTTGTTGAGTAAGGCCATGGGGATGTTAGTCTGCAGAGCAGTAAATATAACTTACAGACTCTCCATGTTCTGCACTCATAGAAAACAAGTTCAGGCAAACTACTGTCCTATCTGAAGCCGAAGTGGTAAAAATGCAGAGTAAACAGAGTCTGGATTTGGACTCAGCCCCTTCAAATATGATGCTTATTTCCAGGCTCCTGTTTCAGAAATCTGTTCCTGAACAGACAAAAACATGTCTTCTCTAACAGTTCCGGAAGGGTAAATTTACAGTGAGACCATTTGGGAATCATTCTGTATCTAAAAAAAAAAAAAATCAAATGCTTTTTCAGAAAGATTAGTATTATTCACTGATAATACTGAAAGCTATCTCTGTGCCTGCTTAGAGGAAGGATTTCTGGAAAATGTTAGTTTAATTCACTAATTTGACTTATCAAGAGACTGAAACACAATCTCCGAGTTAACTGAGTGCAGGGCAGGATTCATCCCTTTCTCTTCAGAAATTCCTGTTTGGGAGGGCAATCCTACTATCCCAGATATTACAATCCAAGAAAGTGTTTGCAGAGCAATATTTCTGATTTTCAGATATTCATTTTGGGGAGGTCTGATCGTGGAAAATGTGTATTAGTGGACAAGGTGAAGCAATCTGGGGAAGTAAATAGACGCTTTAACTACCACTTGATTCTTCTGAAGTCTCACACAGCAATTTGTGGTAGTCTTTAAAACTTACTTGACAACGAAACTTTCAAAGAACTCTGCTATGACACAAGATTATATTGTTCCTTACTCGTCATATGCGGGCTCCAATATCAACCTAAACCTATATCAAGTGTTTTTCCTATTTCTGTTACTTACTTATAACAGAAATTTAATTGATCATTCATACTAGTTAGAATTTCAAGAATGAGTATCTAAATACCAGATTGTTTTCCACATTTTTGTGAACTCTGAAAGTAGCCAAATTTCTGCTTCGGGTTTGTAAAGTGGTAGCCTACTGGGAGAAGACAGCTTAATCTAATGCCTAAGATGCTGTGTGGCTCTTGATCCTTGTGCTTTAGTGCCCATAGCTCCTGGAAGCCATGGGAGCTATGGACACCAGGGCACAAGGACATATGGATGTCTTTGCAAGAACGAGCTTTGATCTTGAAAAGCTGATGCTGGCTTGAAACTAATTGGCCCTGACAGATTTGAGCTGATGCCATCTGGTCAGCATTCCAGAACTGCACACCATAGTACCTTTGGTAATGCCTGAACTAGCAGGAATTTTCTATTAACTGGGATATTTCAGAATCTAGCCTTCCTCTTACATCGTTTTAGCTTCCAAATAGACCTCTAAGGAAAAATAGAGAAAAAAAAACCCAACCACTTTGCTTTAATGGAACTTTCCCACTTGCTTTACTTTGTTTACAATGACTGTGCAAGTATGTAAACATGTCTCATACCTGTGGTCTGCCAGTGAAACTTGCTGTAAATAGAAAAAACAAGAATTAGAAATCTAGATGATTCTGCACCTTGTCAGTTTAAAAACAAAGCTAGTGACAGGAAAATATCTACTACAAAAGAACAGAAAGACTCCTACCTTGAAAAATAAACGTTTAACTAGAAGTGTGTTGTAATGGTCTACACACAGCTTTCTTGACAAGTTTACTTTTCTTGTAAAAAACTGATAGCAATATGAATATATAGATTATATGAATTGCTCCTTATTCATCACTTGAGACCATATAGACCTATAAGTGCCGTAATATAATATCGTCTGTTTGAAATGCTCTGTTCTGGAACTCACTTGGACGAAAAAGCAAGACTGCGGCAATGTTGCACATCTGCATAAAAACCAACCCCACCATTAAGAGCAGTGCTGGCCTTACTATATGAATAACTGCTTCACAAGGGATATTTGGAGTAAGTAGAAATACTGATTCCAAGACAAACTCTAATGTGAAACTCGTAAGACCAGATATAGCAAATAAGACGAATGGCTCTATTTTGCAGTAGAGATGGGATAAAAATAATCTAAGTAAGGCTCAGATGGTAGTAACTGTCTGTAATGATAGGTGTGGCCAAGATAGGAGAGACTAGTACCGATGAGTTGTGAAAAATGGCTTTTTTTTTAATAAATAAAAGGACATGATGTATTGAACATGAAGGCTGTTCTAACAAAATTTAGCTTAGGAATAATTAAAAAGGGTAAGGATATTGTTTTGTAAGGTTAGGAATACAGCAATGCTCTTAAACCAGATTTCCTAGGGAGTCTGTGGAGTCTATGACATTGGAAGTCTTACAGAACGGGTTAGATAATTATGCATCCAGAAAGACAGATCCATCTTGAAGTGCCACAGGAAAAGATGATGGACTAGATGGTCTGCCTTAGCAAAACTCACAGAGTTTAATGCACTCTGTTGTGAAGGCCAGACTAATAATCCTCATTCCAGGCTTCTAAAACAGTACATGAATCTTACACGGTTAACAAAATATGCTTCTAGAAGAGATGTTATTGAATGACTGAAGAAGAGAGAACATAAGTAGTACCTACTAATTGGGGCATGCTGGTTTGTTTTGATTTCTGCAGCAGCATGTCAATGACAAAGGGAAAAATCATATGAAATTTGGAACTGTGACTTGTTTTAATCTTAAGCGCTCAGATATGCTTCACAACATGAAACAACGCGAGACCATGGTTTTCACTTGCAGTGCTCTCCTGCCTCATTCAGGGTATTGTTTCATGGATATTAGATGGTGATTTTTTTTCATGTTTCCTGGTTGTGGACAAGAGCCACCATTATCAAGCTCGCACTGAC